CTAGTTTTCTGAAGAAATATGGAGAATTATAAGTGAATTCATGCTAATTGTTGTTTGAGTTGATGTCTTTTTATTTTTATTTCATTTTTAAATGTTTTAAGTTGTTTTGAGTTTTGTTGTATTTTAACTTTTCTTTTGAACATATTTTGGGTAAAAAAAAAGGGGGGGCAGATATAAGATTTATTCTTCTGCTGCCTTTCATTTTATTTGATTTTACTTTGATTGCATGTTTTTCTGTACTTTGTTAATTTGTGTTACAAATGAAATGATTAAAGAACTACTACCACTATTGTGGTTGTTGCTGAGGGTTGATCGCAACACAAAGTCCAAGCATTAACTGTGGGAGTCAACCCTGTTTGTTAGCAAAATATTTCATGAAACGCAAGATGGATTGTAATGAAACTTTCAGAAAGTAATGATTCGAGATGGYCACTTCAGCTAACTGACACGAGCCAACACAAAAAATGTTACAATCAAGTCAATTTCACAGATATTGAGCTACTGTTTATTGTGGTAGTAGCTGAGAGTCAGCTGCAACGCATACTCTGAGCATGAGATTGTGCACGACTTTATTTTTCAAGGTTTGACCAAACTCATGATGAAGATAGTCTGAAAGTCTGGCATGAAAGGTGGTGGGTGAAATGGTTTATTTCAAGGAATGTTAACCTTTATATATTTACCAGATGTTTTTCTATTGTCATTGTATGTCTTCAGCAATGCTAGTTAAAAWGATTACTAAATGCAGATTGTTGTTTGTGTTGCACAGGGCATTCTGGAAAATGCCATCAAGATCACAAATGAACCTCCTACAGGCATGCAYGCCAATCTACATGCTGCTCTGGATAACTTTGACCAAGTGAGACGTTCTGCTTTTCATACAATACAGATCAACGGATAAGTCTAGATTAGGATAGGTTACTTTGGATATACAGTAGATCATCTGTTATAATTAACGATTCAGAGCTCAGTGATTTGCCTGTCTACAGGATATTCTGGACCAGTGCACCCGTGAACAGGAGTTCAAGACCATCCTCTTCTCTCTGTGCTACTTCCACGCCTGTGTGGCTGAAAGGAGGAAGTTTGGGCCGCAGGGTTGGAACAGGAAGTATCCGTTCAACACCGGAGACCTGACCATATCAGTGAACGTCCTCTACAACTACCTGGAGGCCAACGCTCAGGTGGGGGAGTGTTTTGATGAGGATGTATGAGGAGGGGACTGGATTAACAGCGATTTGTATTATTGTGATGAAGGTCCCATGGGAGGATCTGAGGTATCTGTTTGGAGAGATCATGTATGGAGGACACATCACCAATGACTGGGACAGGCGGCTCTGCAGGACTTACCTGGAGGAATACATGCAGCCAAACCAGGTTTGTGTGATTGTTCCTAAAAAGGAGGCACAAGTGTAATCAGTGAAAACAGCATTTTGACATTACAATTGTTTACATTGAAATCAAAGGCAAGCACAAACAGYAGCTAGCTATAGCACTGTGCAGCCTGGCGCACTTCCAGCAGACTAGCATTAGCTCAATAATTTGCACAGAGGTAAACCTAATTTCTCCAAACTATTGATATTCAAAGAGCTATCTACCACAGGTAAGATAYTGATTGTTCCTATCTTTCCACAGAAACCCTTTTTAAAATTAAGTAAAACTACATCTTTAAGGCCAACTAGGTGTGAATATTGGCTCCAGTTTGAAGAAATTTGGTTAGTTTTAGACTACAGACTCTGAGAAAATTAATAACATTTTTTGCTTTGTTTATTAGCTTGGAGAAAAAAAATGTTAAGCGTTTCTAACCTAAAGCTAATAAAWCTTCATTTTGTATGACTTAGTTTGACCGGAAACTTACATTGGCACCTGGATTTTTTGTTCCTTCCAATTTGGATTACAAGGTAAGATGAATAAATCTTGTTTAAAACTGCTTGACTTTCTATCCCTGTATGTGTGTGTGTGTGTGTGTGTGTGTGTGTGTGTGTGTGTGTGTGTGCGCGTGTGTGTGTAGAACGAGTGTAAAAATGTTGTAGTCAGCTAAGCAGGAAAGCTTCTCTCCACAATGCCGTCGATGGTTAAAGCAGAATGTCTTGTGATTCATCTCAGGGCTACCACAACTTCATAGATGAAATGCTGCCTCATGAAAGCCCGGTGCATTATGGGTTGCATCCAAACGCAGAGATCGAGTTCCTCACGGTGACGTCTGATAATCTTTTTCACACTCTGCTGGAGCTGCAGTCTCCTGATGCTGTGATGGGAGACGGAGCTTCACAGACGCTGGAGGAGAAGGTAGCAACAACAGCACTTTTAGTTAATTTATTTTAATGAGACCTGAGAGAGMGAAACATTACTTTATTCAATAAATGTCTTAGAACTATGTTTTTCAATAAATCTAGCAATCATTACGTGTATTTTTTACCCCTATGTTCTGACTAAAAAACCCTCCACCYATAGGTGAAAACTATTTTAGACGAGGTCATGGAAAAGCTTCCAGAGGAATACAACATGTCTGACATCACCTCGAAGACAGCAGAGCGATCGCCATACATCCTAGTCTGCTTTCAGGAATGCGAGCGCATGAACACGCTGATCTTTGAGATCCGTCGCTCTCTGAAAGAGCTCGATCTAGGACTCAAAGTACGCTCAGCCTTCTATAGCCGTGTGCATTTTGTTTGTCAGAAGAAAACAGGCAGCTGCCTACTTATTGCAGTTAGATGATTAGATGATTTCAAYATCTTTWYATTCTGCTTTGGTAACTGAATTTGTCACTGATGCAACATATACAGTAGCACCTCCAGCAGGTGTGTTCATAGTGAAGTAACAGATAAATGTTTGTGTAAAGGGCGAACTGGCCATGTCCTCTGAGATGGAGAAGCTGCAAACAGCTCTATTCTTTGACAACGTCCCTGACACCTGGTCCAAGCTGGCCTACCCTTCTACCTACAGCCTGTCCATCTGGTGTGTTCCACTTTTGTCTAAGCATTTTTATCACCAAWGATTTAGATTTTGTGTACCGTTTTTGTCACGAGATAGTTTTGATGACACTAGTTGCATTTTTTAAATATATTTGGCTGTGTTGACATGCATGCAATAGCTAGCAATTGTTATATGTTAATGTGATCAATCAGGTCCCAGACATTTTGTGCCCAGATAACTGACACTATCCAAACAGCTGTATTTACCATAATGTATAGATGCCGAAGTATGTTTATAGTGCTTAAACTGTATATGCCCATTGTGTTTATACTTATTTCTCTCTTGTATTATTTAACAATACAAGAGAGAAATCTCTAATATTTTTTTCCCTTTATATTATATTTACTTGTTTGTGTGCTCTAATATTTTTTCCTTTATACTTTATCTCTAATGTTTACTTGAATAGTTGCTGCTGTAATAATTGCACATTCCCTCCAGGGAATAAAGTATTCTGATTCTGATTATACATGTCATTTATTCATGTCAGGTACAACGATATGATGCAGCGCTGTAAAGAGCTGGACAGCTGGACCCAGGACCTGTCTCTGCCCAGTGTTGTTTGGATATCTGGACTATTCAACCCGCAGTCCTTCCTCACTGGTAGCACAAACTCAAGTTTTACCTAAACATAAAAAATGACACTGTTGTGCTCCTTGGTTTTTACATCATGTCCCTGTTTCCAGCTGTGATGCAGTCTCTGGCGCGTAAAAACGAATGGCCWCTGGACAAAGTGAAACTTACTGTGGATGTAACCAAGAAGTTTAAAGAAGAGTTCAACCAGCCAGCCAGAGAGGGAGCATATGTGTATGGACTTTACATGGAAGGTAGAAATTGTCTTTCTTTTTTTAAAAACAGAATTAAATGCATTTACTGCATTTAGACATCTATTTCCCTCCTCCTTTCTTACCGTCTTCCAGGTGCAAGGTGGGACACTCAGACCGGGGTGATCACCGAGGCCCGTCTGAAAGAGCTGACGCCCGCTATGCCCGTCATCTCAGTTCGAGCTGTGCCCAACGACCGCCAGGAGACCAGGAACATCTACGAGTGTCCACTGTACAAGACCAAGATCAGAGGACCCACATATATCTGGACCTTTAATCTAAAAACCAGAGAGCGGCCCGCCAAATGGGTCCTGGCTGGTGTGGCTCTGCTGCTCAGTGTATGAGATGTTCAGGGGCTACAAGTAAAGATCAGGATATTTTAATAAGTGTATWACAGAGTTTATGAGACAATTGTGTGACTATTTTTTGTGTTCTTTTTATACAAACTGTCAAAATTTCACTGTGACATTAATAAAACACATCTTTTTAATTACTGAAAATGGAATCAGACTTTTCTTTTTATTTAAAAATATGAGAAAATAATGTCCAAAATTCACACACTAGATCACAGTTAGAACTGGTATAGTCAAAGCATATTTTAACAAATCAACAAACTAACAGATCGTCAAAGCAGGAGGGGAAAAAAAACAACAGTGCAGCCTTGTTAGAGTGGCTTTCAAGTGGATTATTTTTGTCACACTTGTACCTGTTACAGTATGTTACGCAGCAGTTTACCAAATAAAATAAATTACACAGGTGAAAACATCCGTTAAGCCCCGTTCAAACATGCTTGTCTCCATTTATATCAACTAACAACGTGAGCCATTTTTAAATAAGGATTTGTGAAATAGGGCAGATCTTGTATCGTTCCATGTCACATTCAACATGTTGGATTAATTTGGCTTATGATCTCATGGTTTCAGTGTTATCATTATTAGGTGCAATAAAGATGCAAACTCTAAAGTGAAATGTTTTAAAGTCTGAAAAGGGCTTAATGTTTTTTTTAAATTCCCTACAAGTGGGTGTAATATTTACCATTTATTTAAAAAAAACATGGAGAACATTTTGACGTTTTTAACTAAAAGGGGACATATCATGTTTTTTAAATCCTTCCTTTTCACATTTAAAGCATTCAGATGCGGTCTATATAAAGTGGAAGTGCAATACTTTGGTCTGAGTTCCTCATTAATGTAGCTCCACAAGCCCCTCTTTTACCCCTGAGAGCTACTCATTTTGGTGCTGTCTCTGCAAGTGAGGCACTTAAACCCCGCCCCCTCCAGGTCTCTCTCTCCCAATGATTATTGTCCACCCCATTTGGCCATTTTTGTAGTTTGATAGAGAAACAATCTTGCAGCACTGAAACTTTTAATTTACAAATTGATTAAAAGCTGTCAAAAACAGAAGACTTGTCCATCCAGCCTTTTACATGTTGGAGCCAGAGTCTGACCTAACGACAGGAGAATAAGAACAACAAACCTGCTGAGCTGCAGATTTGCTATAATGGTAAGCCGGATGTCTTGTTTAACAGTTCCACAACAAATACTGATGTTACTGTTCAAAATATATAATACGGAATAGAGAAACCTGAAAGATGTCTACACAGAACCAGAACTTTTCTGCACTCCTAGAGACTCAAAGTATGCAACAAAATGCATTTCAGTGCTAAAAAAGTGGATCTTGCATGATATGTCCCCTTTAAGGATGTGACAGGTTCTGTAACTCAGATGCTGCATGTGCCAACAAGTCCAAATCCYTTCTAGTTTGGCCACTGTTTGTATTTCACTGTGCCTGATGATGTGGTTTCTAGTCGCTGTCAGACCAGTCGAGCTCCATCATGTCCATGGCCGCAGTAGCCATGTTGAGCTTGCTTCCGTGCCGCACGCTGCAGCTTTTCACAGAGTTCTGATTGGAGGAGGATCGCATGCTCACCTGCATCCCGGAGCGACCGGCGACACCCACCTCGCCTCTGACCTTTTGGCTGACCGCCTCGCTGAGGTCGCCTCTGACCCCCTGGATCACAACTCCCATGTCACTCCTGCGACTCCTGACCCCTAGCTCGCTCCTGACGCCACGGCCCATCATCTTTATCACTCCCAGGTCGCCCATGTTCACGTCCATGTCCATGTCGCCGAGTTTCTCCACCTCCCCCATCTCATTTATATCTAGAGACAACATATCCCCCAGACCTCCAAAGCTTCCATGGAGACCCTTAAACATGGTTTGCAGCCGCCCTCCCTCCCCCGCTTTCTCTTCTAAACTGTCYCCAAGTTTGTCGATCTCCCATCCTGCCTCCTTCTCGTGCTCCTCCTCTGCCTCCCCAAATCCTCCCGAGTACCCTCGGACTATGGTGGTCACTCTGCTTCTCTGCATGCCTCCTTTCTCTCGGTCCCCCTCCTCCCAGGTCCTCTCCTCCCTCTCCACCACACCCCCYGGGAAGCTCCTGAGCGTGACTTGCACCCGCCCTCCCTCGAGACTCCCGCTATTGCTGTGTTCCCTCTGCCCCCAACCTTTCTCGTCTACGGTTCCTTCCTCCTCCCCGTCTTCCTCTTCGAACCGTCCCTGCAACTCTCGGAGCATGGCGTGCAGCCTCCCGCTGTCGAGTGAGCCCACCCCCCTCTCCAGGGTGGCACTGCTCCCCCTCTCTGTGTCTCCATTGCTGAGTGTGCGGAAGAGCGAGCTGACCCCGGCGCTGCTGACCCCGGCGCTGCTGAGCCCCGTGCTGTTCGAGTCCTGGGAGTGGGAGCGGAAGAACGAGCCAGACGAGCCGATCGACAACGGCGTGAAGAACTGCTGGACCAAAGAGAAGAGCAATATTTTTATTATTAAACCATCTTCAGTCTGAGCAGAACTGCAGACACTTCATTTAGATGCCACTCACAGGGGAAATGTTTGAACGCTCCATGAGTAGAGAGGTTGGACTGGGAGTCATGTTGGAYCTCTCCTTCAGTCGCTCCTCCCACAGTCTGAGCCTCCTCTCCCTCTCTTCCAGCTCCTTCTCTTTGGAGTAAAGCTCCCTCTCCAGCTTCCGGAGGCGCTCCAGTGTTGATTCTATCTCACACCTGTTGCATGTGCACATAATATGCAGAACAATCAATGAAAATGGGCTGAARAACGCTTGATCTCGACCCGAGAAGCGATGGCGAAGGAACTTGCACACTCTGGAAAAGCACTGTTAATACTAAACAATACTCACAACACYGTATGACGCATTAAAAATCACATTACATGCTAAATTAGTTCATTTTTGCACGACACACCTCAGTCCAGCCATTGTGTATTGCATATTTTTTGTATTTCTTCTCGCATTTTCACAACACAGGTGATGCTTTTTTGCAATGAAGTCAAATTTACTGATCATCATGAATATTAGCAAACAGCAACAACTCACAGCTTTAGCAACAATAATAATGCTATGGTGTTCTGTGACCACTTTATTTTAAATATTTATAACCATGCCTGAGAAGTAGACGCTACCACTTTAATGCAGATAATACCTTGATGTACTCTGTTGTGTCTACACCTTATAAGGCCTTTTATATACTCTACTAAACCTTCACTTTAATACAGGTGGTGCAACTTCAAACTAGTGTAGAGGGCTTTTAAAAAAAGCTGTTTTGGGTTTTACATGATGATGATGATGATGATGATGATGATGATGATGATGATGGGCTACAAAAATGTTATTGAATGCATCTTCATATAGCTTACATTGTTTTCATAGTCTAACATGGAGACCCGAGGTTCATTAGAAACTTTAATAAAACAAACAAAACCTGACTCATCATTGTACTTTATGTTCTCTTGTTGGATGCTGCGTCTTGTTCTTTTATAAATAAAATCAGTTCCAATATTCTCACTAAGAAAGCGTTTTTTATCTTCGACATCACTTGTCATACTCAATTGGCCTGCGAGGGCTTCACAGGTGTATTAAAGTCTTAAACATATGCTGCGTTAAACTCAGCAATGACCATAAACTACATCTCCCATAAYGCATGTTGGTTATTTTGACCATGAAATGACTGCATCTCAAGGTTCAAATATACAGTAGCTGGCAGATGGAAAAATCCACTCTGTAAAATCTCCTTTTCGCTGGTGCTTTTTCTGCGGCCCAGTTGTACTGGGAAGTGGAAATTTCCCACTTCTAAGTCCTAAATTTAAACTGCTACTGTTTGAAAGTGGGAGAGTTCAGAATTCACGGTGATGGTGACTCACCACAACTCATCAGTGAGTAAGACTCTCTTACTTTTAATTTTAATAGTATTTCTATATTGTATTTTTCACATTTAGTCAGCTGTACATGTAGTACTTTCATTGTTTATAAGAGAACGTATTAAATTCTGCTTCACTGCAGGAAATTCCAGGTAGAGCTCAGTTAATGTTTGCTAGCAGTGCTCAGCTGTAGCAATGAGACGAGGATTGTGATGTTTCATGTGTAGTCTGCGTAAATAATACAAAACATCAGAATTTGTGACAACTGGCCCTTTGAGGGTTACTATAACACTCATGTGGCCCTCTGTGAAAACAAGTTTGACACCATTGTTCTACATTATTATTGACTGATAAAAAGTATAAGGTTAATTTTTAAACATTCGACACACAAACAACTGAATGGAAATGTTTTAAGTGCCACAAAGACTTAATGTGTATGTGGTCTTTTTCTAGACTCCAAAGATTAAGGTTAATTGACTTTGTTGTATTTTTGTGATGACTGAATGGCTTGTATTTAGCGTTATTTTGAGATGATATGTTTTTCTGGACAAAATCATTTTTAAATCAAGTGTTTTTAACTTTCCTGGGTTAATGTAGCTGTGCTGTATCAATACAAGTGCATTACTGGGAGATCAAAATCACTATTTTACTCGTGTGTGAGTTTCTGGTTAAATTTGTTCTAAATATTTTTTGCTGCAGTACTGTTTCCCTCCACAAAAGGTCACTGTGGGAGTGGATGCGTGTCTCTGAACAAGCATTTACAAACAATCACATCTCGCAGCAGCTAAATATAGACACRCAGCCATCCCTCCTGTGTTCCTTCACCTCCTCCACTCTGTTTCCCCCCTGAAGTTCCAGATTATTTTCCACTCGCAGCCAAAACTTCACTCAAAATTGCCTTCGCTGTGCTTGTGTTAAATATGCCCAGAATCTCACACCTTCTCCCCTGTGGTTGATCGTCCCCCGTCCTCACTTGTCCACCCTTGTCTCCCCTCTAACCCTGTTGTTTCTCTCTCTCTCTTTCTTTCTCTCTCTCTCTCTCTCTTGTGCAACGTTTCAGATTTCACACTCACTCAGGACATTTCTTTTCCGCCCCGTTCTTCTCCACCTCAACTAACATTTGATTTCTCCACCCCCCCACCCCCGGTCCAGCCCT